GGGGGGGGTGGGGGGGAGGGGGGGGGGGGGGGGGGGGGGGAATATGGGGGGGGGGGGCTGTAGAACTAAATGTAATGGATATCTGTTGTTTTATGGGAAAAAAGTGGGCGCTCCTCTTCTGTGAGCCCCCAGTGCATCCTCTGACTTCCCAGCAGCGAGTGGGCTGTGTTGTGGGGCACTTTGGGTTTCAGTGATGACACTAATTCACCTGATGAGGAAGTGCTGCGTTTGGTGCTGAAGCAGTAGGTGTGCCACGCAGGGAGCGTGAGGTTTTATGTAATTGGCTCTTACATAATGGTCTTTAGCACATTGCTTTTATTAGCGCTGCTACCGTGTTTTAACATGGCTTGTGCTGGAGCGGCTAACGGATGCAGGTGGGTGTCCTGGGCAGAAGCACTGGAGTCTGCGCACTGTGACTGGGTAGGAACCTGAGGACGTGAAAATCATAGTTACGGGCAGTGAGTAGGGGTGGTTCAGAAATGTGCTTCAGGACTGATCGATGCTACCTGACCTCAGGCAAACACATGTCTAAATGGTATTAGGCAACTCTGCTGCTAGGAAAAAAAACCCACCACCTTGCTGTGTCTGTCTGCCAGCTGATGTGAACAGGGTTAAGTTTGTTTAAAACATTGTTTCTATAGGCTTTTTGAGTCAAGAACATGAAAGTCGCCATTGTTTCAGTCTCACGTGGTTCAGAAGGGTGGGAAGAGAACGAAGAAAAAAAAAAAAAGGATGGGGAATGGCCTGGGAAAGGTTGGCAAACGCAAAGGCTTGTCTTGCACTATTGATGCTTTTTGGGTTTAAGTGATGCTGGAGTTAGCAGTATCAGCTGTCTGCCTATTAGCTTTATTTTGGTTGTGTTCTCTCTGCAGTACAACAAAAGGTGTTGGTTGTGTTGGGAGATGCCAGTGTCCCAGGAGACTGCAGGCAAGCCTTGAGCAATGAACTGGCATCGCCTTTACCATCTGCTCTCCTGACAGCAGCAGTAAAATTGTGCTGTGTCTTCACCTGTCCTCATAAAGTCCCCAGAATTATAGTGGTGGGGGCTTGTCTACTCTTTTCTGTTGTTAAGCATGGGTGGTACGCTTCAGAAATGTTTTGTGACACATTACTTTTGTTTTCCAAATGGGATTTCAGTAAAGTCCTTGCGTTGTATCAGTAGGCCTTTTGTTTAGAATAGTTCAAGTTTGTTTTTAGCTCCTTCTGATTTCTTAGAACAATTTTTATACAACTGTCCAGGCTGGCTTCTTGTTATTTCTCATTAAAAGTCCTGCTAAAAAACCAATATTGCAGTAGTATGTAGCAACTCTGGCCTGAGACCTAGAGTACAAAGTGCTACAGGCCACCTGAAAGTGGTTCAGAGCTCCCAGAAAACTGTATTGTTCTAACTGGCTGCTAGCGTGATCTTTTCAGAGTAACTGTACTTGTGGTGCTACTATACAGTTAGCTTTCAAAATCCATGGGGCAAAATTCTGTTGTGGAGTAAGCATCTAGTTGTACTTAGCAATTTCCCACAGCTTGAATACCTTATTTAAAGTAGGAGACAATATGATGGACGTCCCCCATGGCAACTGAAGAACTTCAGCTGTTCAGGTGCCCTAGGTTTTAGCACTGTTGGCAGCAGAGCTCTTCACAGCTGCTTGTTCTCATTGCACTCCAAATGAACAAGCCAAATTGTAAACCTGTAAAAGTTGTCAATGTAACCATGTTATAACTTTCACTGCATCAAAGCACGCAATGCCATGATAAATGCATTAATTAACCAGCAGTAGAATCCGCCTTCAGCTGCACAAAAAAATCCTACCCGCGTGAAGGTTGGTTAAGACCTTGAAGGTAAAAAAAAGAAGAGTCAAACTTATAAGCTGGAACAGAATTGGAAAGGTAGACTAGCTTGTTCTAGATGTGAGGATCATGGCAATTTATATAAAACATTAATTTGCCACATCTTTCAGTTTTTCCGTAGGGTTTGAGCACTGATCTTAAGAGTGTATTAATAGAATTGTGCTCTAGCAGGCCTTTTTAAAGTTGTGCATTAATTGTCACTTGAGTTCCTGTTTTCTAACTCGTTGGATCTCTGTTCTGTGTCATGTTAGACAAGGCTTTTCACTGAACAGTTTATGATTGCATTTCTTGTAATGTTGGAATTTCTTCTTAGCCTTGCCACAACGAGGAAAACCATGCCTGGAAAATAAAAATCAGCTTTTCTGATGAGTTAAGTGGAGAGGGGCAGTCATACCCTAGCTAAATTCACCAAGGTTATGAATAAGTGATGGAAATTCTATCACTTTTAAGCTGCCTCTATCTATAACGGTCTTTTTTGGGAAAAAGTTCTGAATATTTCTGTGAGCTCTAGGCTTGTTTTTGTATTGCTATATAGAAAGCTTCTTGTGAACCTTCTAAATTTTATACCTTTCCTATTCTTACATTCCAGGCTATAAGGGCGTTCTGTGTTACTGAAGGAAGGTGCTCCTATTTGTGAAGTGACTTATGATGTCAGGAACTGTATCATCCTGGATCTTAAGCTCAGCAAGAAACAGCATTGTTTTACAAGGAAAAGGACGTTTGTACTCCATCTGTATCCCAAATAGAAACAAGATAAAATGGAAGCTTGTTTTCTCCAAAACACGTCTCTACCCTGCTGGGAGCTGCAGCTTAGACAATACTTTCTCCTTAAAAAAAGCATTCCGACACACTTCCACCGAAGAAGAACATTTCTCTTTCCAGTTGTCGCCATCACAAATCAACGATATACTCAGAGCAGGTGAATTATCCCATAAAGTACTGGATTTGAATGGTAAAAATGCAAATTCCGTGTTGAGGTTTGAAAGTAACCAGTTGGCATCCAACACGCCTATTGAAGACCGCAGAAGTGCAGCCACTTGCTTGCAGACCAAAGGGATGATGTTTGGAGTCTTCGATGGTCATGCGGGTTCCGCGTGTGCTCAGGCGGTAAGCGAGAGGCTACTTCATTATATAGCGGTGTCTCTCATGTCTCGGCAAACCCTGGAAGAGATCGAGCTTGCTGTGGAGTGCATGAAACCAGTTCTGCCTATTCTGCAGTGGCACAAGCATCCAAACGATGTAGAGTATCGAGAAATAACTTCACAATATTTTGAAAGCCTCCGGGTTTACTGGCAACATTTGCTGGACCTAGACACGGAGCCAGGATTTAGTTTAGAAGAAGCCATGATATGTGCATTCCAAAGGTTAGACTCGGACATATCACTGGAAGTTCAGGCTCCCCAGGAAAATGAATCGATGAGAAATATTGCCCTTCAAGTAGCTTTTTCTGGTGCAACAGCCTGCGTAGCTCACGTTGATGGTGTTCACTTACATGTCGCAAATACTGGTGATTGCAGAGCAATTTTAGGGGTTTGTGAAGAAGACGGAACGTGGTCTACTCTCCCTCTAACCCGAGACCACAACGCCTTCGATGAATTTGAAATTAGAAGACTGAAGAGAGAACATCCTAGATCTGAGGAGAAAACCTTATTTGTGAATGACAGATTACTGGGGATTCTCATGCCCTCCAGAGCTTTTGGAGATGTGCAATTAAAATGGAGTAAAGAATTGCAACACAGCATTCTCGAGAATAGCTGTGATCTTGAGGCTTTAAATATTTATCAGTATGTTCCTCCAAACTACCATACACCCCCTTATTTAACTGCGGAGCCTGAAGTCACATACCACAAATTAAGAAGCAAGGATAAGTTTCTAGTTATTGCTTCGGATGGACTGTGGGAGATGCTAAGCAATGAGAAGGTTGTAAAACTTGTTGCTGGACAGCTTACAGAGCATCATATGCAGAAACCACAACTGGCTTTTGAGAAACCAGTTAATTTGGGTTATATGCACAGCTTGTTACTTCAGAGGAAAAACAGGGGCATTGCCTCACTTGACCAGAACATAGCTACTCATTTAATAAGGCATGCAATTGGAAGTAATGAGTATGGGGAGGTGGACCAAGAGAAACTTGCTGCCATGCTGACACTGCCTGAAGACCTTGCGAGAATGTACAGAGATGATATCACAGTTACTGTGGTGTATTTTAATTCAGAAACAATTGAAAATTACTACAGAAACAAGGAATAGAGACTTGCACTGCTGCTGTTCTATACCACTAGCCAACTTTGATACAGAAAGCATTACTGTTTTTCTCTGATAGTCGAGCTCTTACCAGTGTTATGGTCTGGAAGTTCCTAAATCTTTTTGTTACTTACTAGTCTCAAAAATAACTTTCTAGAAGCAAGTTTGGTGAAAGTTCCCTGGGTTTCCAGGTCTGTGCGCACTGAAGAAAAATGTTTTGATGAATGTTCACTGAAATGTAACTGAACTGAAGATTGCTGACCCAGTTCTGATTCCATGGGAACCACTGGTGAAACTTCCCGAATGAACAAACGAGACAAATTCCACTGAGACTGGTACAATTTAACAGAGAGATGGATAATACCTGTAGCTATGTGGAGTGTAAGAAAGGTTCTGCTCTTGTGGAAAATAAGTAGCATTCTATTGAAGCACTGTAATTGAATTAAATAAATAAACTACCAAACCTCTATTTGATGTAACAGTGTCAGATACTTTAACAAATTGCCTTGTGTATGTGAAGACAACACTAAAGAAGGCTGTTCAAAGAGTCCTGGGATTGTCAGACATTTTTTTTTCCTAATTATTTTTTTTTTAAGCTAGGAAACAAAATCATATTTTCTTCCACAATTATTTTGCAGTGTGAATGCATATTCTCTTAACTCTGTGTGTGGGCTTGTGTGACAACTTACAGCTCAAACACACATGAGGGACTTCACAATTCCCTGATCAGGAATTAACAGTACTAGACTTAAGCATTTAAATGTCTAATTTGCTTAAAGAATATACCCTTTTATTAAGTATTGATCTATGAAGAGCTGTGCATCAAATCCACCAACTGTAATTTAAATGAAGTTTGACAGGTCCAGAAGTTCAAAAATTCATCTAAATGTAAATACAGCAAAAGAGAGAGCACCTTTCTCTTCAGATTTAACTTAGACGAGAGAAATAACAGTGCTGATATTTCACCAAAATATGTTTAATCTTTATTTTACTCTTTTTTTTTTTTTTTTTTTTGCCTTTGGATGTCAGGTTTTCCTTGTAGGTGCAGAGTTATTTTCTCTAAGGGATATATGTTCTAATCTCTGAACATATACTTTTGTGTATTTTACAATGGTTTTCTTTTATACTATGCTTGCAAATTAACTGTATTTTCTTAAATTTCTCATACAGTGTTCTCTAGTGACTCTTTTCCTTGTTCAGGCACAGCAGTAACTGTTGCCCACAAGAACATGCGTACTGGGAATACAGGACTGTTTACTGCTGTTACTACCAAGTAGGAACTTGTGTGGGTGCAGCAGAGCACATAAAAACATTGTGCTTTTTTTTTTCCTGAATTTCACTTAAAATAAAAGCATTATCCTTCTGCAGTTTAGCACATGAAAAAGTACTTAAATTTTTCTCAAAATGTTAAGTAGATGAGATCTTGGGGCATAAACCGGTAGCAGTTGTGGATTTGGGGCTTTTTGTATACTTTTCCTTCAGATAAAAATTCTCAGTGCTTTTTCAGGCATTTAAATAATCTGTTTTGAAGATTGATTAGAAGGAAACTAAAGCTGTTTAAAAAAATAGTCATGCTTTTGACGATTCAGGATTGACCTGTAATTCAGTGCTACAGTTGCAATCACTGAATGCATCCTTAAAGGAACCAACTGTTTGGAAAACTAATTTACTCAAGTTTTTTTTCATCTAGTGCATATTGGAGTACATCCAGCAATTCAGCCTGGCGGCAGGTAGCCCTGTTTTTCAGGTAAGATGAGTAGGTCTGTTCCTCTGGATTTCAACAAAACAGAATTGCCTCAAGAAACCTGACGCTTAAATCTCGGTGAGAGGGGCTACGGGAAGACTTTAAGTACGTGCAAGATGTTACAGATGCTGCTGAAATCCTTGTTGCTTGGGTCCAATTTACTTTAAAGCGTGCCCTCATCCTTGAGGCTGGTGCTGTGGCGACTGAGATTCACCTGCCAGAAGGCGGCAAGCAATGAAGGTCAGGCTCTGTCAGCCTCGGGAGGGGTCTGGGCTACCCGCAAGGCAATTGGGGGAGGAGGGGAGAGCTCTTCAGCAGCACTCCTACGCCCTGTTGGCTCTAAGCATTTTGTTCTTTCAAATCCTTTTCTGTGATTAGTTACATGCTTCATTGCTTGAAATTTAGACATAAAGCAGTAAAAGAAGGCATTTCTAGACTATCTCTTATAGGGAAATTACTTAACAGCGTAGCTAGAGGAACAAAGGGGCTCAACCACCTTAGAGTTGATATGAAGCGATACATTTTTAATGAAGATAATCTAGAAAACTTTTGCTGTAGAGCAAACCTGCAACTGCAAAAGTACCATAGCAAACCTGCGAGTATACAGTCATAAAATAAGAATAAGCTGGTTTTGTTCTTTTCACCATGCAGTGGTGAAATCTAGGTCGTCTTTTCAAAGAGTCATTGTGGTACTATGTCATCTAAGCGTTACTCCTGGGTATGTTATTGTGCGTAGGTCATTGTAACTGCAACAGCAAATTGATAATGATTGTTTTGGGGGATGCATTTGACAGTAAGAACGGTACCACTTCTAATTTCTTGTTAGTTTTGCTCAGTTTAACGTGCAACGCTATAATTATCCTATAGTGGAAAAGGATAACATTAAACTAGTTAGAGGTGTTTGGTTTTTGTTGGGGTTTTTTTTTTGATGTAAATCATGGATTTAACTGCATGCTCCCTGGAATTTGTTGCAGGCCAATGAAAACAATCTATCCATACTTGTGGTAAGGAGAATAATGACTCTACCCATTTGAACTGGATCATAAGACATTTTTATCTCTAACTGCAAACACAGCTAATAGGCATTAATAAAAGTAGTATTTTGTGACTTGGAGAATCAACAATGTTTAAATGAGCAAAAAAAAAAATGCATTAATCTGCTCCTGCAAGCACAATGATGTGAAAATTTGATAGCACATTTAGATGCAAGTCCTGCAATATTGAAAATACGTTGGAACAAACACCTTTGCAGGCAGCCTGTTTGGTTTAGGTTAGATAGTTCTGCTTGGCATTTGTTTTCTTTATTTCAATAGTGTTCCAGAGAAGCAGTAGTCAAAAACACAGGCACATAAATTCTGTGTCTCAAAATGTGGTATTATGGGCATTATGACTCTTAAGTAAAACATCTGAGGTGAAGCACTGATGTAAATACTAGAAAAAAATATTATTTTCTTCCCTAAAACTTAAACCTTGGGTTGAAATACAACTTTGTCACTTTGTTTTTTTTTTTCCCAGAACTCTTATTCCATGTTCCTCAATTATGATGCTTATTTATATTTAAGTATTCAGGCCTCCACAATGTATTTGGAGTTTTGGAGAGGTCTTTTTTTTTTTTTTTGGTAACTTCTTGGTAAATAGTGAGAGGGATCACTGTTTTTGTAAGTAAAAATATTCATTTCGCACTTAGAACTAATCTTTATTAAATGGGTGCAGGACTTAATTGTACTGGAATCTGGCATGCTTTCTGCTGAATGCTCATATGAAAAGATGCCAGATGCAAGGTCAGAGAGCATAAACGTCCAAGCTAGGGTACAAGTAAATAGTTTGAGTAGGCGTGAGTTTGCTTAAGCGTTTGTAGCTCTGTGGTTTTCCCACAATGGTGGTGTGTGCTCTTTACTACCACAAGCTTAATACTTCAGTAAAAAGTAGAAAAGCAAGAATCCAAGGCATTTGTTTCTCTTGGGGTTACAAAGCCTGGCGTGACATGAAGAAAAAAAAAAAATTTTCTTTCTTTGTATCTGTTGTGGAGAGGTTAACTTTCAAAGAAGTACTATTGTCAAATAAAACACTTGAAATTTTACTAAATCTTTGTCGTTATCCTGAAGAACCAGTTCAAACTGCTGCTGTCAGATCACTCCAGTTGTCAGTCAGGTAAGAGTTAGTCTTATTTCTTGTTGCATTAGTTAATTGCTGCTCAGGGACTTTACGGCCCATTGGCCTGCACTCCAGCACCACGCTACGAAGCGTTGGGGCGTCTACTTCTTTGAGACTGTGCTACCAGAGACTCTCAAAATGGCGTGACTGAAGCTCTTTAACAACTTGAAGGAAAAAGATGACGGAGCCAAGCAATTGTGGAAAGGAAGCAGAATTGTGGTTTCTATTTGGGTTAAGCAAACTTAACTGGGCACTTCTCATTTCTTAAAAGAGAAAAAAAAGCACATTTTTTTGCCTTCTGGTGAGCTTTTTTGAACTAGGAACAATGCAGAGGGGAAAATGTGGTTAAGCAGCAATGCTTAAAAGGGTGCTGGAGCCCTAGGCAGCAGATAAATGGGTCATAAATCATACTTCTCATACCTCCCTGCTGAAATTTTGGAGCCAATCCTACAGGGACTTGTTCTAGAATGGGTTTGAGACTGCCTTCGTACTTCTCTCAAATCAGCCAAAAGATGCTAGCTGTGGAAATAGTTCTTCCTGGCTGTAGGCTGCTGAAGTGCATTAGAAACCAGCAGCTCACTGCCAGCTCAGAGGGGTTCTGAGCTCCGATGGTGGAGCCTTTGGCGTGCTCTCTCCTATTTTTGTTCAGCGTGCTTTGCTTTGTGGTCTCTGAAATGGTCTTTGTTGCTTTGAGGTGGCTCTTACATCACTGCTTCATGCTCCACAGTTCTGTGGTGTTCTTCTTAACAAAAAGGATTTAAATTTCAGTGCTTTACTGAGTAAATCTTTGATTTCGTACCTGCAGAACCGAGGTTGGCCAGAAGATGTCATCTCAGTTTTGCAAAAGGAGAGCTGTGTTACGACTTCAGTCTCTCTTCACTATTATGTATGTATTCGTAAAATAAATTTCAGGTGCTATTGAAAAATTTGAAAATATTGAAAAATGGAGAAAAAAACCCCAGCAATCACCTACACACACCTTAAAAATTCTGTGTGATTTATTAATACTTCCAACTTCTGAATGGGGTAATCTGAGCAAGAGTTTGATTAACTTTAATTCTTAGCCAAAACTGAGTTTTAATGGCCTAAGTACCCTAAGTGGTTAGGCTTTGTGGAAAACAGTCTCCTTGTGCTGGCGCTGCTAGGTAGAAGAACATGAAAGTGAAGCCAAGAGGCACGTCTCTGAATTTCCTGAAGAGTCTTCCATTGCACAAGAGGAAAAGATGCTTCCTAA